TCCACTTCATGGTATAGGACTTTAACCCGAGAGCTGCTTGATTTGATTTAGACACTGAAGTTATCCCATCCAATGAGTACATAAGTATATGCTCTAGATAAAGCTTCTCTTCCCACTACACTAAGGAAGTCATTTAAACTTGGAAATACAAACTTTCCTTCATCGGGATGGAGTATCTTAAGTGTTTGCTGCATTAATTTTCACTTCTTAACTTTGACTTATTTGGTAACAATATTAGAGTCAAAAAATAATTTACATTTCAATTTTTGTGAGTAGCTTGTTATTAAATATAGCTCCTTCTTTAGATCCTACGTTACCACCCATCTCGTTGCCTGTCGTGTCAATACAGAAAAAGTGTTGGCTGCTCAGGCTTGGCTACACAAGCAGGCTCAATCCACGTTCAATGACTTCTCCAGTCCTGATGGCAGCCAAAAAATGGAGCATCTTCATTCTGGTCAGTTCTTTCTAGTATCGCCAGTTTGGCTTTGGTCATGCTACTTTACTTGGCAGCGGCTGCCTGAATCTGCGTTTCCACTAGGACGTGACTACCATCCGAGCGAGTTTGACCCAGAAGCTGAGCCGGAGCCTGGTACGCATCGTTTTGAGCGTCGACTCAGAAGACGCAGCCTGCATGCTGGAATTCAACGGATCCATCACCATCACCATCATCATCACCATCACCACCACCATCATCATCCCCGCCACTATCATCACAGCAAACTAAGTCAGCACTCGCTACAGATGCTAAGTCAACGTCTTTATGACTCAAAATCTGACAATAGTCAACCACTGAGTACGTTGCCAGGCCGTTGCCATCCTTCAATCGAGCTCGATTCTTCGGACAAATCTTTGCCTAAAGACCAACTCCCTCCCTCTCCAGTTCAACACTCAAGCACTGATTTTCTTCCTGCCGCTCCTACGAGGTATTTAAGCGTTAGTAATTAGTAAAATTATTTATTTATATTTATATATCATTGTGCATATATTAAATTAAAAAAAACAACCTTGACTTGACTTTTAAGTCTACTTGAACATTAACCATGATCCCTTAAATTTATGAATTCTATAAACTGTAAGCCTTAGCTGCTAGAACGACTGCAGTTTATGGCTCGTAATTCATGGGCAGGTTAGCCCGCTCTTAAATTTGTTGGCGAAATTTCGACCGTAATCGCATCCACAGCTTCGAACAGTTATCTTTTCTCACAAAATTTTATCTTAGAGATGCCAACGTTCACATACCGTAGGGCACTTATCTCCTTAAGCATTGATATCAACATTACACTTTCATATTTCGCCCATTTTCATTTCCTTATCCCACATTCTTGAATTAAAAGCAACTCGGAATGTTGAGGTAAATTTCAGAAGAGTTTTACATACTTCCGGTAAGACTGGGCTAACCCAAAATACAGCCACGGCCAATTATGGCGACCGAATATAAAATCTGAATTGGCTAATCATTTTTTATATACTTAAGTGGGATCGCTACTTCGTCCGTATTTTGCTTGCCTTCATTAGGTCGGATTTAATTTTTTAAATCAATTTTTATGATCATGTATTGCGATAACTTTTAAAGTTAGTGATATACTTTTATCTCTACATAAAGGATTACCATTGATTCGCAGCGTTCGATTGTACGCTTATATTAAAGGATCCCTTAGACTGAATTCATAATCTGCTCCGAATGAAGGTGAGAGGCGAAATGGCAACCATACTTGTTTATAGGTTTATAAGTTGGACAGCAGTATTTAGCAAATATTTGCCAGGGGATCCTTAATTCATTTGTAAAATGTGCTATCTAGCCTATTTCTTAATCTGAAGTTATCCTTCCCTACACTTCTCTGGGGGACTATTATATTTAATGAAATCACATCAGGCCTTGAATAGTATTTAAATTTAAGCTAGTTGCCGCTGATCTACCAATCTATATATTATAGACATCTAAGACAACCGCACTGTAATCTTTTGGGTAAATCCTTTCATTTTTCTCGTCCATAAACCATATGAACGAGAACGGTAGTTTTGGTTAGGACTTTTTGCGAGCCATATCCTCCTCAAAGAGCTACTGAAAATCTGTTTTGCAAGAGGGATTCCTGTCTATAATTTTTTGTTTAAAGGATGATGGAATTGCTTTGTATTATTTACTTCTAATCTCTTGGTCCTAATATATGCTGGTTTGTCGTACACGATGGAGAATATAGCAGGCTTCACTTGTAGCCAAGCTATGCTCATATTCGCTTGAATCAAGGGAGGCTATCTTGATGTCTGCATCAGCCTTAATTCCCCAACTTCGATCAAACAACGACTGACCAAAGAAAGTTTATCTTCTGCTCAGAGTGGCCTACTAATCTCTACATCACGGAATGAAATTTGGCACTACATTAATTTATACTACCATAGGCAAATAATCAGCCTACATTGTATAATAATCAGCAATCATCAGTTTATTAATCCCCTTTCGAGATGTACTTGCATTTCTTTTTTGATTTAGAATGCTTGGAAATTAAAGGCCAATTATTTATAATACTGCCTGAAGCACCCTTTAATTTTGGTTGTCTCGTTTTCGCAACTTTGTCGTGTCCGACATTCCATATCATAGTAGTCATGATTTAGTTAATAATGTAGCAAG